TTGATCTTCACAACTCTCTTATAAAGTTTAACCTTCTGGGAAATTCATGTGTCAATTTAGAACCCTATAAATCTCTACATTAAGATCCTTTTTTTAAAGTAGAAATTCTTTGAGATGCTTTTATAGAAAATTATTTTTCTCTCTATATAACACAACTCTGCAAGCTATCCCTAGACAGCAAATACACTCGAGAATGTAGAAAATGTATATACCATAAAATTACTTTAAAATGAAACATTAACTATTTTATGAAGAATGTTAAATCCTGAATAGGTTTAATATGGTGCTATTCGTTACAAAAAGTGGTGATACTGTAAGAGAGGAGTCCTTATCTCCCAGTAATGAGAGTGGAGACAAAGGAATGATCATGTATGACTTCAAAATTCTCTGCTATAAAAAAAGTCTTTATTTTCATTCTACATGTCTCATAGTATCTGAACAAAAGACCTATTTTTTACCCTGAAAAAAGTCTAAGGTTATACCCAAAATTTGGATAATTCAACAGGTCTTGTAGGCTCTAAACATGGTAATTATTTCATAACCCAATAGAAGTGGTACGAATAAAATTCACTTTTTTGGCAGATATCTCTTGTTATAGCTGCATAAGCTCCTCACTTGATGGGTAGTTTCTGTGGGACTCAAAAATCTCAACCACATTGGCCTCTAAGAAGTCTACATGACTCAGGTCATTTGCTAAGGTCATGTTTAACTGTATTTGGAGCACGGCTTTGGTTTGGAGGGAGCCATAATTTTTGCAATCACCCATGGGATAGATCATCTTCCATATAGCATCCTTTGTTAGTTGAATGGACTCCCTGCCAAGACCAGGCAGTGGTCCAGGCTGTCCATGGTATTGCAGACTCACTAACTGCAGGCTTATCTGCTTCATTAGTTCATCACAGAAGCTTGCCAGAAGATCTATACAGGTACAAAGCCTTCAAAATGGGACTCATATCCTGATCTTCTGGCTATGAAATAGTCTCTCTCAGATTAACAGATAAATTGCCTAACTTGACAGGCTGGTCCAGGGCATTATCTATGTGGAGTATGGAACTGCTAAACAAAAAAAAAAAAAAAAAAAAAGGAAAGGAAAGAAAGCCATCTTTGGGGCCTGCTCATCACTAACCTGGCCTTCTATTAGACCCCAACATTGCTCTCAGGTTAGCTCAGGAGCAAGCCTGGGGAGATCTAGGGTTTTCAGGATGGGAGACAGGTAAAACGCCTTAATTTCAAATCATCCTCAGAGGGGCCTCAGGTGATATCTAGCTGCTTCGACCCTGGACACTATTTTTGTCCACAGAAATGAAAGTCTTTTCTAGCAGCCATTTCCAACTGAGTTTGGTCTTAACCAACCTGAAAAGTTAGGTTTGAAAAAAGAATCCAACACTTTGGGAGGGTTGCAAGATTTGTGTGTGTCAGAACTGCTATCTTCCTTGTTCATCTAAATGCTGTGAAGATTATTCCTCTCTGGGACCAGCAGTTAGCATAATGGCTATGTTGCTGGACTCCCATGTAGTCAACCGCGATTTGAGTCCTGGACCCGGTGGCTTAAAATTCACGCCGGGCGCATGTGCATGCATGCCCAAGATCCCGAGAGGAGAATGGAAGAGAAGGGATTGTGGCGTGGCCATCCCCCCCAGGGGGTGATTTCTTGCTTTCTGTCTCTCTGTCTCTCTCTGTCTGTCTGGCAAGCGCTCGTGCCCTATAGCAAAAACCTCTTCAAAAAGATAAAATTTTTAAAAAATGATTATTCCTCTCTTAGAATCTTAAAAATCATTATCTAGTAGCCACTAAATATTTCCATTTCAAAACCATGACTTCTCCATACCATGAGTCCTCAATTATAGTGGCTTCTAAAAACATCAGGGCATTCAAGCTTCTTATCTTATATGCTAATACATATTGAACAGTTTTCCATCAACATATCTGTGATAAATCAATTTGCTAACACTTAAAGGCATAAGTGCTTGGCAGTCACTAAACAAATATTTTCTTGAGTTTGTATAAAAAAGAGCATAACTTTGGGGCCCTTTAGCGAAGTCTTAATCTTTGTCAAATTGCCTTACCACTTCAGATTTTATGTTTAAATAATTGATGAACAGTTTCCTTTTATACTTTTGGCATATTTCATGGTTTGGCTTCCTTCTTTAGTGCAGGTTTGCAGTTGGTATGAATACGAACCCTGACAAGTATATTTCTAGCTCTTTAAAAGGAAGATTTATAATTTCTGTGTTCTAGTTTTCCTCCTGCCTGGTTCTGCCTTTGGGTTTGTTGCCTATTCAACCAAACAAAAGGCTTAATCAATAAAACAAAGGGGCTGAAACTAAGAAAGTAAAACAGACCCAAGGGAAGCAAGAATAAGGAAAGAAGTAGGGAAGGTCAACTTTCACAGTTATAAGCTACACGGAGAAGTAAAATTCCAGAACTAAACTGAGCAAATTCTCAGAATATGCAGGTCACCCACGGATGCTCCCTGGGTGGCTGTGGCAACTTCGGCTTCCCAGCCAGTTATGGAGGTCAAAATATTTTTGAGGACCAAATACGGAAAACATCACATACTAAAAGTGAAAATCTGTTTGAAATGACAAAACCATTTCAAAATAAGCCTTCAAAACTCTAAGACTTTAAGAACACTACACAAAAACACACATTGAGACAAACATCGCTTTGAAACTGAGCCATATGCTGTATGCTACCTCAACAAAGGTACTAACATTCAGACACGTATGTATCATGGCTTGCCAAACACATGTCCGAGAGGTTTAAATGCAACAAGACTAGCCTATTATATTGGCTGTTAGGTCATTATTCAACCACATCCTGCTAGTGTTAGTCCTTCATTATTGAGTGCTAGGTCTTCAGTAAGATCATGGATTATGGACTGAAGAAATAAGGAAATGAATTATAGGCTGTTTTTAAATAGATTGTTATTTATTTATTTATTGGAGAGGTTTTTGCTATAGGGTACATGCACTCACCAGAAAGACAGAGAGAGAGACAGAGAGAAAGCAAGAAATCACCCCCCTGGGGGGATGGCCACACTACAATCTCTTCTTCTCCATTCTCCTTTCAGGATCTTGGGCACACATGCTCACACGTCCGGTGTGAATTTAAGCCACTGGGTTCAGGACTCGAACCGTGGTAGACTACATGGGAGTCCAGCGACATAGCCATTATGCTAACTGCTTGTCCCAAATAGATTGTTATTTTAATGTGCTGGAATGAATATTCGTATGAAAAATGTTTGACATATCAACTCATAATGTTGTACATACATGTGTTGTAATGTTGGCATAGTTAATGTGTGTATATGCATCTGTACCTAAAACCTCTGTAAGATGTGGTTATCCCTTCAAATAAGTTTTAAGTTTTTTTTTTTTTTTTTTGGGAGAGGATGAGCACTCTCAAATAAGTTTTAAGTTTTTTTTTTTTTTTTTGCTAGAGGATGAGCACCATCCAGAGACAGAACAAGAAAGAGATAAAGTACTCCCCATGGGGAATAGTCACACACCAATCCCTTCTCCTCCATCCCTTCTTCCTTTTGGGATTTTGGCCCTGTGTGTACACTTAACCATGCATGTCTCTCAAACTGTTGGGCTAGGGACTTTAACCACTTTAAGTTTTTTTTTTTTTTTTTGCTAGAGGATGAGCACCATCCAGAGACAGAACAAGAAAGAGATAAAGTACTCCCCATGGGGAATAGTCACACACCAATCCCTTCTCCTCCATCCCTTCTTCCTTTTGGGATTTTGGCCCTGTGTGTACACTTAACCATGCATGTCTCTCAAACTGTTGGGCTAGGGACTTTAACCACATTTTCAGCCATGTGAAATCCAGCTACCTCAACTACCAAGCCATGGAGCTACCCCTTCCAATAGACTGCAATTTCATCTTCCTGGGTCTCAAAATGCAGAGACTATATTGTCTCTAAGAATAAGTACCCCAAACTGACCAAGGCCCACTGACCCCAGATAATCACTGAGGATGTCCTGACAACTCACACTCCCAAAATATTTGCTTAATGTCCTTTCCCTTTGCATTTGAATCAGCTGAGAACTGTTAAGTTTAGAAAGCTATACAAGCATATCTTTCTCCTATTCCACTGTAATGCATCAATACATTCTTAATTCTTTATGGCTTATTAGTACTTTTCAAAAGCAAAATAGTTTGCTGCCAAACCTAGCTCTAGATGGGAGTGGGAACAGGATTTGCAACCCATAGAAAATTCTTCTTGTCTGGGGGTGTGGAGCTGGTGATCCTTTTGTTTTCACTTACAAAGCATTACTGTAAGAACTTTCAAATGTAAGGATAAGGATCAATGTTGTTTACACAAGTACATCACCTCTATGGAGAGTAGCAAATACGCAAAACTCCAGGATAGCCAAATAAAAGGAAAATGACGTCCTTATTGTATATTATTCCTTTCTTATTTTTCAGTATATACATGCCATTGTCCAACTCTAAAGCCACCTGTTACTCAAACCCAGCCAGAAGAAAGGTGGTCTGGCAGTGCCATCTCATCCTCTTTGCCTCAATGGTTGGCAACATTAATGAACATTCTTTCAAGTTGGTTTACTGATGTAAAAAATTTTTTTTAAGACTTGGAGCTTCCTTTTAAAATGCAAAGATGACAATGACTGTTAAGAAATCCACAAGCCTGTTACCTGCTTAAGGAGGAAACATCCTCTTCAAGTCTAAATCAAGTTAGTAAATTTAAGATACCTGGGAAGGCTGGGTACACTGAATTTTTGGCAGAAGTCCAGAACTAATGCACTACTTTACTTTGTTTCTTTATGACAAAAAAATAAAAAATAAAAAATAAAGCCAAATTGCTAAACTCAGCTCAGAAATCAGATGGAGAGGTGAGCAATTTACCACCTATGGATAAAACAAAATACAGTGATCTCAGGAGAAATTGTCTCCTGTGAGCATTCATTTTAACCACAGTGGAAAGCCTCAAGAAGGGTAGCTGTGATCAGCTTTGCTTTTGTTGTGCATACCTGGATAGAGGTCCGGCCCAGGTCCAGGTGAGCGGCCCACAGTCCCGTCAGCAGCAGCATCTTGCGGGGAAGTAGCTGGCTGCAGAGGCTGCACAGTGAGGCAATCCGTGAGAAGGTCTGGATGGAGCTCTGTGCTAGACCGCAACTAGGAGAAGGAGGAAGCACAAGAGAAATGGAGAAGCAAAGCTAGTCTTAGAATTCTTTTCTGGAAAGGCATCATGCCCTAAGGCTCAACGCAATTCAACCCCCAAATATTTATCAAGGAGCAGCTATGGTGAGGTGGAAACTGAACAGAGGTCAATAAAAGGGTCATTCTTTAATCTTAGTAAGCCTAGCAGGTGTTTCAGGAAAAAGGTTGGAGGTGAATTTTACTTTAATCGTTGATGTTTCCGCTTCTGGGAACCCACCTTCCTATTACATTTCCTTTTATTTGCTCTGTATCTTATCAGAAGTTGTAGTGATAACAAAAACAAACTGAAGTAGATTTAGTCCATGTTGGAAAGTGATTTTAAAATACAGGGAGACAGTCATGAAAATATCCTGGAGATAATTAAGAAATGTCCACTGAGATTTGAGCCCTATAGATTTCAGATAAGTGTAAAATGCTTAAATTCAATTTTTAAATATTACAAAACATGATGAAAAGAAAAGTCAATGTCATTAGCAATAACTAAAACCCAATGGCAAATTACATGGAAGCAAAACAAAACTGTTTAGATCTTATTTTTATCACATAGTATATAAGGAAATTAATTATATTGGGCTGTTGGAAAAGTCATGTATTTTTTTCTATGCAAAAATGTGCCATGACTTTTCCAAAAACCTAACTTACTGAAGAGTTACATGTATGAAAATCAAGTCATAAGAATGACAGAATTAAGAGGTGAACAGTTATATTTAATCTCTCCCTCTCTCTGTTTTTATTCTCTGTAAAGTATGTGTGCTCATCAGAGAAAGATAAGAGAGTGATAGGGGGAAGCACCTGCCATGGGGAATGGTCATGTTCCAATCTCTTTTCTTCCATTTTCCTATAGTACTGGGATTTGGCCACCCACGCACATCCTCCCAGTGTGTTTTCAAGCCACTAAGGTTGGGATTCCAACCACACAGTCAGCCATATAAGATCTGGTTCCCTTAACTAAGAGAATAGGGTCAGCCCTTGATCTTATCATGAAAAATAATTTTCTAATTGTAATTCAAATGGACAAAGTTACAATAGAAAATTTAGTGACAAAATATTAACCTTCAGTTTATACAAAAATATAGTAACTTTAAAACAATCTGGAAATATATTTGTCATGGGAACCAGCAGTTAGCATAATGGCTATGTCGCTGGACTCCCACATAGTCGACCGTGGTTCGTGTCCCGGACCCAGTGGCTTAAAACTCATGCCAGGCGTGTGTGCGTGCGTGTCCAAGATCCCGAGAGGAGAATGGAGGAGAAAGGATTGCGGCGTGACCATCCCCCCTGGGGGGTGATTTCTCCCTTTCTCTCTCTATGTCTCTCTCTGTCTGTCTGGTAAACGCACGCACCCTATAGCGAAAAGAAAAAACTTCTCAAAATAATAAATGAATACACTAAAGTGGTAGGACACAAAATCAACAACCAAAAATCTACAGCATTTCTACATATGAACAAGTTGATCAAGATAGAACTAAAAAAAGAAATCCCTTTTACCATAGGCATGAAATGTATAAGATAACTAGGGATAAACCTAACTAAGAAAATCAAAGACCTTTAAAAAGAAAACTATGAAAATACTTAAAAAGGTATTGAAAATAACACAAAAAAGTGGAAGGACATCTTATGTTCCTGGATTGGAAGAATTAATATAATCAAAATGGCAGTTTTACCCAAATTAATCTACATGTTTAATGCAATTACAATCAAATTACCAGAGACATTCTTCACAGATCTAGAAAAGACAATCATAGAATTTGTGTGGAATCATAAAAGACCTCATACTGCCAAAGCAATCCTGTGCAAGAAGAGTGAAGTGAGCGCATATCACTCCGACTCCAAATATATTATAAAGCTGTGATCATCAAAACAGAATGGTACTGCGATAAGCAGTTAGCATAATGGCTATGTTGCTGAACTCCCACATAGTCGACTGTGGTTCGACTCCGGGACCTGGTGGCTTAAACTCACGCTAGGTGTGTGTGCATGCGTGCCCAAGATCCTGAGAGGAGAATGGAGGAGAAGGGATTGCGGCATGGCCATCCCCCCTGGGGGATGATTTCTCGCTTTCTGTTTCTCTGTCTCTCTCTTTCTTTCTGGCAAGCGCATGTGCCCTATAGCAAAAACCTCTCAAAAAAAAAAAAAGAAAACAAAACAAAGCAAAAACCCAGTATGGTACTGGTACAAAAAACAGCCAGGTGGACCAATGGAATAGAATAGAGACCCCCAAAACAAACCCAAATACATACAGCCAACTGATTTTTGATAAAGGATACCAGTTACATTGGCCAAAGAAAACCTCTTTAGCAAATGGTGCTGGGAAAACTGGGTGTTCACCTGCAGAAAGATGAACCTGGATTCCCCATCTTTCACCATTAACAAAAATCAACTCAAAATGGACCAAAAATCTGAACCTAACACCTCAAACTATAAAACTACTGGTGGGAAACACTGGGGAAATTCTGAGAGATATTGAAGTAGGCAAAGACTTCTTAAGTAAGATTCCCAAACCACAGGCAATAATCCCCCAAATAAACAAGTAGGATTACATCAGACTAAGAAGTTTCTGCACAACAAAGGACACAGTAATTAGTGTGAATGGACAACTCTCAGAATGAGAGAATATTTTTGTAGTCTACACCTCAGATAAAGGTCTGATAACCAGAATACACAGGGAACTCAAGTGGCTTACACTCTCCCCAAAAATGACTAACCAAATTAAAAGATGGGAAAATGAGCTGAACAAAACACTCTCTAAGGAAGACACATGAACAGCCAAAAAGCATTTGAGGAAATGCTCAACATCTCTCATAATAAGGGAGATGTAGATTAAACCACAATGAGATACTACCTAATTCCTGTCAGAATGGCAAAGATTAAAAATACAAAAGATAAGTGTTGGTGGGGTTGTGGTGAAAGGGGAACTGTGCTACACTGTTGGTGGGACTGTAAATTGGTCCTGCCACTGTGGAAAACAATATGGAGGTTCCTCAAAGATCTACAAATAGAACTGCCCTATGATCCAGCAATCCCGATGCTGGGTATCTACTCAAAGGACAGGAGAATGCTCAGCTGGAAAAGCACTTGCACATCAATGTTTATTATATCATTATTCATGATTGCTAAGACATAGAACCAACCCAAGTGTCCACCAACAGATGAATGGGTTGAAAAAATGTGCACATATACTCTATGGAATATTATTCAGCCATAAAACAAAACAAAACAAGACAAAAAACAACAAAAAAACATTTGATAATGAAGCAAGCCAGGCTATGGAAGAGAGACATTGTATGTCTCCATTTAATATGTATCAATTGTTCTCACTCTATGGTAGAGATTAAAAGATTGAAGGGCATAATAGCAGTGAGATAGTGTGGAGGCAGGAGGGAGAAAGTAAGAGTATAGAAAAGGAAATCAAGGAGAAAAAATAGAGAGGAGGTAAGACATTTGTGGGACACAAAAATGGTTTATTCTCTATTGATAATGTGTGTAGTATTCTTGACTGAACTGGTCTGAGGTGCATTTCATGTTGGGTAAATTCTCTGCAAGCCAAATGATGTATAGTGATCATTTAAAAAACATATGAATAATTTAAAAAAAGGAAAAAGCACATATAACAGTGGTTGTAAGTAATAATGTATTAACACAAATGAAAGTAGTATTATCTATGTACCTAGTAAGAAGCAATAGCAAATGTTTGTTATAAAATCAAAGTATATTAAAAATGTTGAGAGCAATTAAGTAAAAGGAAACTCATAAGTAGAAAAAAAAACAAATATGACAAATGCTTATCTTTAATATATAAAGAGAGAATAAAAATTGATTTTATAAAAATAACATTAATTAAATACAGGGATGGAGTATACTTACAACAAATATGAGAATACTTAGAAAAGTTCCTTAAAAAATAGACTAATTATTTTATGAATTTAATTTGGTACCAAAAAATTTTAAATCCACACACCACATAGATTTTCATAAGGCACATCTTACTTTTTTTAAATGTAGAGAGTGCATACGTGTGACTGTGCGGGCATGCAATAGAGAAGTACCCTCAACAGGGTCTTGTCATGCCATGATTTCCTTTACCCAGTACCGTAGCCTGTTGGAATCTTGGGCTCTTGAGCAAGTGGGACTGGTGTGTTTTCAGGTCAACTCTGAGATACGAACCTGTGGGCAGCCATGTGGCTTTCAGTGCTGCCTCTGTTAGCTATCGATGGTACCACAAAAGCTGGGCCTCATGACACACATTTTCCATGAACGTTTTGAAGGTCCTTCTTATGTTTAAAGAATGTTACACACTTCTCTAGATCCCCAAAATACTGACTGCCTTTATGGAACTTATACTCTAGATGGGAAAGCAGACAATAAAATAAAATTCATCGTGGAATGATGACAAATGCTATCAGGAAGAGATGCAGGAAAGGGAGACTGTGAGTAGGATGACAGTGGCAACTTTAGAAAGGGGAATCAGGGAAAGCCTCTTGGAGATGGCATCTGTAAAAAGCCTCAAAGGAAGTGAGGGAATAAGGCCTGCAGACCTAAGTGTTGGGGAAGCACCTGCCTGCCCTGTGTTGTGCCTGGATGATGTGAGGAGCAGGAAGGCTGAGGAGAGCAGGGTCAGAGGAAGAGAAATAGAAGATAAAACAAGAGATGTAATGTGGGTGGGAGTGGGAAGGAGTTATATCAAACCTTAACAATGATCAGAATATGTTAAAAGGGAGGAATACATTCAAAAAAGGGGGGGGGAGGAATATGAATGACAACATGAAAATGTTCAGCACTTCCACAAAGAAGTGCAATGTTAAAACTCTATTTTTGATTTATTAAATTATGGAAGCCTTTAAAAAAAGATGTAGTGGCAGTTAAGTATGACAAGAGGCATTCTTAAACACTAATGGCAGGAATATAGGTACAAACTTTCTAGATAGTATCTGGAAATATTTTTTCAAGACCCATAA